CAATTGATTGTTCTTATAGCATTCACCATTTTTCCCACTTGATTCTCTAAAGCCCTTAATGATGTTGATTAACTTGCCATATACTGTTTCATTAAGGTTTCGAGATATGATAGAGTTGAAGTTTGTGTTGAAGATTGTCCATGATAAGTTTGCCTTTCTTGCGGCCGTGTAACCTGATGATGTCCTTGATGCTTTGGCATCGTCTGCTATTGATTGTAATGTTGCGGATATTTATAATGTTGTTATTATGGATTTACAACATTTTGGCTCCTCCATGACAAATTGGGATGGTTCCAAAAGTTGGCATTGTAGATATTTTCAAAATCATTGTCATTTCTATTGTAATTTCTTACATAGAAAATTGACTGTAGATTTTAAAAGCACTCTTCAAAATTATGACTATCTCCACAATAAACATAAGAAATTATAAATGTAGTCTTTTCCTCGTACATTCCCCCTGGGTTTTGTAATTTCTTCACTATATATGTCAATGTTGAAATTTGGAATGCCACTGAGTTAATTGTTTCAATGTCCCCGCTATAGTATTGCGTCTACTGAATGTGTTTCTTGTATTCAAGTACTGGCAATCATTAGTTGATATCCTTTCCAGTATATCGTAAGCTTCAATATATGTTTTATCCAGTAGAGCTTCTTTTGTTGAAGCTTATACTACCATACAAGCGTGTATATTCAATCGATTGTAGAACATCTCCATTTGTGTCCAATACGAAAATTCATGCATTGGGCGTATACACAACAAATCTTTGAATCTCTCTCATGCCTCATACTACTCTCATCTTCAAGTTACTTGAAGGATGTCAAGTCATTCCGCAGTTTTGCTTTCATATTTGGTGGGTTAAAGTGCAACAAGAACTTTTGTGCCTGCTCATTCGAAGATGCTATGGAACCAAGCGACAACAACATCAACCAATCTCTAGCCTTGTCTCACAGTGGACAAGGGAACAACTTCATCTTTGTTGCTTCCTCATGAACACCTTGCTTAACAAAAAAAATCATAGACCTCCATATATACTCATAAATTTGCTCGAGGATCTTCAGTAAAGGACCCTTAATATTGTCCCATAGATTGTAGTATTTGAAAAATGATCGCTTCAATACGAAATTTGCAGCATGAATTATTGGTCGCATTATGCTAGGATGTAAATCATCAAGTGTTTGCACTATATTGTCTCGAATAGGTTAGTTGCGATCATCCATATTGTAAAATTGTTGTCCAATCCCATTGCCAACAGGCAATTCAACATTATCACCGTTATGTAACGGAGGCAAAACATTATTCTCTTATCTAGCCATAAATGCTTGATTTCTTGCAACTTCTCTACGTCGTCTTCTAAAGGTTCTTTCTATCTCCGGATCGAATGGATCTAAATCATCATCACTTCGGGGCATAAACCATTAGAACTAAAAATGTGGTACCTATAAAAAGAAATAAACAAATAAGCAAACTAACAGACTCTAAAGTAAAATTGATGCTCCCCGGTAACGGTGCCAAAAACTAGGTATTGTGTAAATGTTACAGTAAAGTGCTAGCATACACTATCAAACAAATAATAAAGTGGTAGAAAAATAATGCTACGGATGTCGAACCCAAAGAGAGCAAATTATTTACAGTAGAGTTTAAGTATAAAGGAAGAGTTGAAGTGATGAGTGACAAATAAAAGTAAATGTAGACTTATTAGTTTTAAAGAGCATGAAAATGATACAACAACCAAGGGAGCATCATAAACCAATGGACTTTAGATGTTATTATATTTGGGCTACTAACATAATAGTAATGTTGAACTACTATGATCACGAGTTATGCTAAGATTAATTCAGAGTATTAAAACTTTTAATTCTTATTAAAAATCTTATATGTGTGTAATCAAGCATAATCATTGGTATCCTTATCTCTATATGGATTTGTTACTCTCGTAAGCCCCTATTTTATACAAACACTATCATGCATCCTTAATTAATTTCATCTCTAAAATTAATCAACAAACACATGAATAAAATGATATTATCTCTAATTAGCATATATTAAAAAATACAGCATCATAAACATAATTTAAATCACTAAAAACTATCACATAAGCATTAATCAAACGCTTTATGTTCGATACCCAAAAGAAAAGTATTTAACATTCAACAACCATAATATCGTTTGTTTCTTTCTCAAGTTCAAAATAATAAGCTAATGTTGAACCCCGATCAGTCAGGCTACTCCTTTGCTGCTGCTGCACTCCCCGGCGGATGGATTAAACTGACATCGTATCTTAAATCGATGGAGAAATATATATAAGATGAAGAAAATTGGATGATGAAATGGTGAGATTATCGATCCTATTTATAGGTTGGGAGGTTGGATTCTTGACCAATGGTCTTTCGCCATATTTCAGGAGATTTCTAGAGCCTTTGACAGTTGTCCTTATCCAGTTGTCCCTTCTAGAAGGTTCTCTAATCTTCTCGGAGAGTTACCAAATGCTACATAATAGTTCATCATTCCAACACAACATACCTACAACATCAAGTAATACCGCCAACGTCAGTGTACCAATCCCAACATAAAATATAAAATTTCATCAATCATTAACTAACTCAGTCCTATTATGAAAATTATGCATAATAAGTAAAAATGATTCTAAAATGTTCCTAAAAATGCTCAAGTTCAAGTTTATCTTAGGTAAAAAGATTTCTAAAGGATAACTCTTTTGGAGAGTTATTAGCGTGTGACCCCAAACTACACCATAATGCATACTTGTTTATTGTTGATGAGCATTTAAGCTTCGCAACTTGAGTGTCTTCTGAATGAGTGTTAGAAATTTATGACCCAAGCCTCGTCCTTAGTATTGTATTGTGTCTAGATGGATGTTTGAGCCGTGGCCAGAGCCTTATCCTTGTTATTATGTGGTGTTTAAGATTGTGATATATATATGCATTGGGTATATGGCTAGATAACATTGATGGTATTGATAGTATTGCTTCTCTAACTATAGTTGTTGGCATTCTTATGTTAGTAATATATGTAATATAGAATAGGTTTTATGATGTGTTGATCTTGTTAGCTCAACGTTTAGAATGTGTTTTCATTCTTAGGATGCAGGTTATGTAGAGTGCGATGAGAAACGATATCATTGGAGGAATATTAACGGAGTAGCATAGTATAGTTACGATGACATTATGGGCATGTGGAGGTTATAATTTGAAAATGAGTCAACTTGTAAATCTTTTATTTATGTATTTATGTATTTAATTTTTAAGTTTTTAAATTGGGGCCTACTTTTGTATATTGTTATGGTTTCATGCATTATGTAAATATTTTAAAAGTGAGTATGATTTCGAAAAAATGACTAGTTACTTCAGTGATTTCTTGTGACACTTGAATCCGTGGGATTTGGGTGCTATATTTTGTAGTATTAGAGTTAGAGTTTAGCCGATTCTAGGTTAACTTGGTCGAGTCTTACATGACCAGAGGATGAAATATGTACCTACAAACAGTGACTTTGATGTCATTCGTTCATTGCCAACTAGTAAGTTCATATGATAACTTTAAGTAATAAGTGTGTAGAAAAAGGGTTCGAGTAATGAATATGTCATGTTGAGTGATAGTGTGAGAATATAGAGAAAAACGTGTACCCTAGTGATAAGGTTAAGTGAAGAGGTTGTGAGTCATTCTTTAGTCATGTTTTAAATTAAAGTGTGTTCAACGGGAGCATGGTGAAACTTTTGAGCTTACATCGTCAACTCATAAGATCGAGTCTAGTGTTAGAGGATCTTCGTATATCTTAAGTCTTTGGATGTGTTTCCCTAGAGTGTGCCAGTATTAGCAATAAGTAAGGAATTCAATGTTGTGAATGAAATTCAAAAATGAAAGGATGCTTATAGTAAAGGTCCTTTAGAGGATTCAATGAGTCATAAAAATTATGCAGCTTTAGTGTCTACATCAGTGGTTTCGTTTAGGAAATTTCGAGGATGAAATTTTCTTTTAGGAGGGGAGAGTTGTAATGACCTAAATTTGGAAGTCAACATTTGAGTGTGGACCCAAGAATTTATTCAATAGATTAATTCTAGCATAGAGGTCCATTAGTTCAAATTTGAGTTCACTCAAATGAGAAATTAACCTTATTAGAGATTAATAAAGGATTTTTAAGGTTTGGATGAAAGAAGAGGGACCTAAAGTGTAATTTTTCCGTTGAAGAAAAATATAGCTGATTTAGGGGGGTTTCAAGCTAATTTTCACGTGGCTTTTATTGTGTTGAACAGAGCACTTTTCTTCTCTATCTTCCAGAACGTTTTCTTCTTTAAACCATATTCTTGTTTCTTCTCATCTCTTCTCCCTTAACAAGAAAAGAGACAAAGGTTTTAACTTTCATCATCTTCCTACTCTAATATGTGATTTGAAGGTATGGTCTATGGTCTTGGACCATAGCTTCATGAGGAGTTCACCATCTTCTTCAATGGTGTTCTATTGAAAACATATTTATGTTCTCAATTTTTATAAGTTCGCTCCTTTATAAAAAAAAATTATAAGTTTATTCTCTAATATAAAATTATGTGTTGGTCCCTATCTACAGGTGCATGTGCGTTGCCAATAGTTAAAAATTTTATAAAATAACATGTATTATCTTATAACCAATTCAGAATATTAAAAAATATATAGTTATACACATCATTTGGATTAATTTAACGTTATTAATATAACTTTTCGAGTTTCTCGTAGGAATATAAATATTGACGTGGCTATGTTCAATTAATTCATTTTGTTTTGTAAGCCTTGATTAAAGGAAGCACTAATCGATTATGCAAAGTAGATAAATTCATACGAAATTAGAAAATAAATTAAAATTTGGAAACTGCAGCATGAGAGAAAAGGGAGGAAGGAACGTGACATGTTCTGGTTCCATAACGATAATAACTATATGTAAGCATATTTTAAGTAATACGTGCTACGTAATCTCTAACTTTATAATATATATAACTAAAAATTAGAAAATTAATAATAATAAAGGTAATAGAATAATAGTAATTCTCTCTAGTAGGGTTGAGAGAAATCTTCTAACTTGTAACTTTTAAGTAATCTCCCCTCCAACAATAGCGGCCAATTAAACAGCCTTTTGTGCCTACGCCCACTTGCTTCACTTCAGTTTCGGATTTCGATCCCAACACACCCACTATTTCCTTCCATATCGTTACTTTGTTCGTAAGAATTTTTTCATCTTTAACTTCTCCTTCTACTACTTTACCATTTTCGTCGCCTTCATCATCGTCTTTGTAATGCTTCTGTACAACATCCTCCCAGTTTTCCTCCTCCTCGTCATCTTTGGAGACATCGTCGTCCTTGAAGAGGGAAAGCCTGAGCCTGCCTTCGCTTCGTTCCATGTGGAAGTAGCTATTGCAAGGAGAGGTAGTCTCGGCTTGAAGAACTAAACGGCCGCCTTCTCTATATGACTTGACTTCGACTCCGTTGAAGCCGCTAATGGATGTCAAAGGAGGCGGAAAGCTGTTGACATGGCTCGGTTTCTTCCTCGTCGAACATTCCCTCGGTTTCGAAAGCAGGGAAATGTCGGTGACGCTCTCACTAACTTCACTTCCGGTTTCACTGCCTAAGCTTTCGGTGCACATTTCGAGACTTCTTTCACTCAGCATAGAAACCGAACGCTTTACGAGAGGGTGCTCGTAACCATTGTCATTTCGGGTAGAAATAGAATCATTGGCGTCGGCGAGCGACTGGAGGAAACTCCAGCCAACTGTGTCAACATCTTGACTGCCCTTCAGCTGGTGATCATCGAAGGTGATGGCGTCTTTAACGTCGGTATACGGCATCGGTTTCAGCACGGTCGGAGGAGCAATGGAGGATGCTGGGAAATTGGTTATCGGTGGAGCCAATTTCAGCCTCAGTAAACGTGATTCAATGTACCGTAGCTCCAGGCATGCTTGCAGCCCTTGACAGACACTTGACGACATATCTTTTATCCGCAACAAAAATTGTTTGGAGAAAAAAAACAGGGGAACTTCAAAGAAATAACCAAAACAAAATACCCTGTTTTCTCACTTTTTTGGAGTTCTGATGGGGGGAAGGGACAAAGTATTTTGTGTGTTTGATTAGGGAGAGAAAGAAAGGCGGTGGAACATGAATGAAAAGTGAAAGCATTGGGGATGATTTATAGGAGAGGGTGACCTCTTAAGTCCACTAAATCTTTTACAATCTTTTACCATTCCATAGAAAAAACAAAATAACATAATAATTATAATAGCATACATCATAGGCCAATGAACTATGCTAATTTATTGCTTTGGTCGTTGGACTATCAGAAATTATAAAATGATCATTAAAAGTTTCGAACAATTACAACATGACCATTGAATTTATCTAATTGTTAAAAATGGTCATTAAAATTTATCAAAATATTAAAAAAAAAGGGTCATTAAACTTATTGAACTTTTACACTTTATTATAAAGTCATAGTGACCATCTTGTATAGTTTGATAAATTTAATAATCATTTTGTAACTTTTAAAAGTTTGGTGGCCAAAATGATCGTTTGAGCATGGTGTAGTGACTCTCAGTGTAGTTTATCCTAAAATAAATGTATAAAAAAGAATAGTAAACTACTTATTCAGTATCCCACCTATTCTTGTATTTTTATTTTAGCTACCCAACTATTATTTTTTGCAAAATCATATCTAAAGTTACATGATGTTTTTATTTTAGTATGCACCGTTAGGTGTGATCATTTCTGTTAAGTCAAAGGGTAACATAAAGTTGAAACAAAGTGTAATTTTATTCAAAATAATTCGATACATCTTATATATTTAAAAATCCTATCAAATGGTGCAACATAATGTTGCAAAAATTATTTTAAATTAAAGTGAAGATCAAATTGATAGAATTTTTAAAATATTGAGGATTTATTGAATTATTTCGATTTATAATCAAGATAGAATGTATAAGTTTTTAGAACTAAATGTTATTATACCATCTCACATAACTATTTCCTTTAATTCAACGGTCAAGCCTAACGAAGGGGGTACCAAAATAGAAACAAAATATAATGTTATACATGATTTTGTTAAAAAATAGTACATGGATGACCAAATCAGAGATGCAAGAAGAGATAAGGTACCAAATAGGTAATTTACTCTAGAAAGAAAGTTGATCGAATAGTAGTAAAGGGGGACTTGTATTGAAACATGGCAAAGACATCTTTGTTGTTAGGAATGGTCTTTAGTTCAACTTGTTTCTTGTTTTAGGGTTAGAGGGTCCGTACAAAGCTAATAGTTAGAGACTTGCCACTCCAAACACAAACCCCTACAAATCCCTACACGAACACGAGAGATGTAGGTTCGGTTTTGCCATTAAAAGAAAACCAAGCAAAGCAAGCTTAGACAGAGAAAAGGGTTGGTTCTTCGTTTAGGGTTTATTTATGTCAATAATTTGCAGTTATAGTTAAATAAACCAAACTTAAGTGTACGTTCGAATGAAAGGACAACAAACCCTATTTGCTCTATAATTACAAGCAAATATAGTGAAATAAACCAAACTTAAATGCACGTTGATATTTATCCAAGTGCATGTTTATTATGTGACACGTCACAGGGTCCTTAAATTTTGGACCCCTCGAATATTATTCGATTTTGTTTATGTAAATAAGGGTGGATTAAAGGGAGGGGTGCGGGTAGTCACCTTCTAGAATTTTAAAATTATCATATATTTTAGTTTTTTTAATGTATTTTTATTGAAAATTTTACTTTTTCCTCTGAAATTTTATAAATTCTCCACCTTCTAAAAGTTTAGAGGTTTTACACCTGACATAAAATGTTGCATCAATCCCTATATGTCCAACCTTTGTGCCCTAACGACATCTTCGTTCAAAGAGAACAAAGTTTCAATTTAATTCTTAGGAAAGTGACAGATGAAGTAGCAAACAAATATTTTGACAGTATCTCGAATTATTTTCTATGATGAATTTTGGTAAAAAGACCTTGTAGATCTCTCATAATTGGAAATTAATTCTTATTATAAAATATTTTAGTGGGTTACTTTAAAAAAATAGGACAAGGTTTATCCATCTTTTGGGACGGGTTTGATTTATACCGATTAGGTTTCCCTCTCTCTTTTTATGTCGATTAACGGGATGATTTATGAGAATGACTTCATTTTTTTTAGTTCAAAACTCAGCAAATTTGTAAATAATTTTGGAAGGACTGGTCAAGTGATGTATTTGGTGTTAATATTAATAAAATTTCATGGATACTCTTTTTCTGCTTTCAGTGTTCCATTTAAATCTTTAAATTCTATACTTAAATACGAATCGAGTTTTTAACGAGACTCCATTTTTTCAAAAAATGTTAATAAAATTGTAACCCTAATTTAAAGTCTTTAAAACAAAGAGGTCACATAACTTTTTGTTTCAGCAAATGAAAAAAACATATAATTTACTATCCAACATTTAGATTCCACAATCTTAATTATTTTAATCTTAAATTTTAGTTCGACTTATGGAGGTGCAAGGGTCTCACCTTCTATCTTCATAAAATGATGAAAATAGTGTATCTGACAATATTATAAATTAGTGGCCACCCCTTATTGTTTAGATTGTATTTGATGATTTTTCTTAACAAAACAATAAAAATATTGTATTTGAGAAAGTTTAATTATGCTTTTTATGATTTATTAATAAAATATTAAATTAATTGTCAGAATATATTTTCGTTTTTAGGAATTTAATTTTGAGTTTTCACTCAAAAACCAAATAATATTAGAGATGATCATGCATAAACCCTAAACATTAAATCATGAACCCTAAATCTTAAAGTATAAATACGATGGATGACATTAAAATGAAAAAGGTTTTAGAGTCTAATTTTTACCACTTTTTATTACAACGCCACTTTGCTTTTTTCGGATCTACCTAAAAAAAATTGTAATAATAAATTAAATTTCTTAAATTTAAATACTAATTAAATTAAGTTTTATCCGTTAATTTTAATTTTAAGTACCGAATAGATTTTATATATAATATTTATATGTGATACGATTTGAATCCGAACACTCAAAATTGCAAGACCAACACAATCGGCCGGCAACAATTATGTTACTTTGAGTGATTAAGAATTATTTTCCATATTTGCTCTATTTATAAAGCTTTAACCCTACAGAGTTTGAAGGGAAATATATATCAGAATGGTTGATGGATATGGAGCTCATATGAGTGACTTTTCCACTAATTTTGTTTGTTGTTGCTTGTTACTAAGGTATCTTGCAAATACTCGAAACATGGAGATTCCAAGATAACTGTTATAGTAGTTTTTTCTTTATTTATTATTTTTTCACACAATTATTGGAGCAAAACCCTAATACCAAATCAGTGTGTATTTACAAAAATAATAAAGTGGAGATCTAGAAGTTATCCCTTCCAATTTTCAAGGGTTTTTATTTTTTTAATTGGATTTTTTATACTTCAAATATAGTAAAAAAATTATTTTGATCTTTTATGCCCTTGTGGGATGGGGCAGTCGGGGGAAGCAGCCGGTTTGGGAACTATTCCAGAAGCTAAACAGGAGAAGGACCGGGTGAAGACCAAAAGTCTGTAGGAGTTTCAGATTCCTTTAGAAGAAGCAGAGTGGATCGAACATTCGCTAGCTGGGATGATTAAGGACAACTTTGATTTAGAGTTTGTTCAAAGAGGTTTTTGAATAAGGGATTAATGCAAAGCTTGCTAAATGGGGAAATTCACAGAGCTTTTGTATCATAACTTTTTGTTCATCAAATGAACTGGAAGAATCTTGGGAGATAAAGAACGATGGCTGGGCTTTCTGGTTCAGATACCTTGCCCCCGTCAAAGATAAGTCGAGTCATGCTTCTGTATTTTTCTCTAGCCTTTTGGTAGGACTACCACTGCAACTATGGCACAAAAGCTTCTTCTCGGCTTTGGGGAATAGGTGGGGTACTTTCGTTGATTTGGATGAATCCACGAGGAAGCCGGAGGTCCTCTCATCGGCGAGAATGGTAGTCAGGGTTGTAAGCAAGTTTGACATCCCTAATTCAATAAGCATTAAATTGGGTCGAATGGGAGAAGTTTTAGGAATATTGGGTCCTCTAGCCTTATGATTTCCTTGAATGAGAGTGGAGAAGAATTAATCGGGCTCAACCCGGATATAATAAATGCATATCATACCTCATGCACGTAAATTTCAGAATCGTACCTCATGCTCGAACCTAGGTGTGAGTTTCCAATGCACGTAAATTTTGGTTCTCACCCCGACCCCTTGAGAGTCCGAGTTAGACTAGGGGTTATAAGTTCTAATACACGTAAATTTCGATTCTTACCCCGAAACTATCACTTTTAGATAGGCTAGTGTGTTGTCTAAGATGCATGAAAATTCCTCCGACCTCACCACTTGACATATCTCATGTTTGTTATGTACTTTTGCATGTTTATGACCCTGCACGTCATCATATTCATGTAATGAATGCATGTAGTATTGTATAGTTATCCTCATGGCATCAGTTTGTGAGCTCAACGTATGGAACGTGTTTTCATGTGCAGGTTAGTAAGGGATCGTTGAAGATCCTATCGCATTCGTACATTCCAGACTACAAGATTTGCAGAGTATGTCTTGTATATTTACAGAGGGCATGTATAATATATGGACCTTATATAATCGTGTCATAACTCTATTTTGATTTTAAATCATATGGTTGTGATATATGTATTTTGGAGGACTCCTATATTTTGTAAACGTTTAATTGATTTCCACAGCAATTTATGATGAATTATTTTGATGATTATAAATTCTTTTAAAAAAAATTGGGTTGACCATTTCGGTGGTTCTATGTGGCATCGTAATCTATAGACCTTCAGGTTTGACTGGATTAAGGTGTTACATAGATGAACCTCATAACTCCATACTCCTACTTAGACAGTGCCCTAGTAAAAATCAGATTGAGCAGTAAACAGTCCAACAATATCAGAGAATCGGAAGTCATATACATTATATATCATAAAGCA